GAGGTAGCTTCTGGAGCGCGAAAAGGGGGGGGGTGGGTAGCTTCCGAAGGGCAGAGAAAAGGGGGGGGGGGCTTCCGACGTGGGAGGTCCAAGGGGGGGGGGGTAGCTAAGCACCCCCCCCTCCCCTGGAAAAAGGGCGGGGGGGGGGGGGGAGGGGGGTAGCTTCCGCGGAGCGCGAAAGAATGGGGGGGGTAGCTTTCGAGGGGCGGGAGAAAATGGGGGGACTGCCGGAGCGCGAAAGAATGGGGGGGCTTCCGGAGCGCGAAAGAATGGGGCAGCTTTCGAGGGGTAGCTTCCGGAGCGCGAAAGAATGGGGGGGCTTCCAGCAGGGGAGGCCCAAGTGGGGGCGGGCAGCTACGGGGGGACCCCCCCTTTGGGAGTGCACCACGGGCGCGCTCGCTCATAGCTGGTGTCGATCTCCCCTCACTGGTGCACACAGCGTTTTTGATTCCCTCACTGGTGCACACAGCGTTTTTGATTTCATTGCTTCTCCCAGGGCTCGCACCCCGCTTTTTAAACACGTGAAAGCCTCGAGGCTCAGATTTGTGTTGTTGGCCGCTGGTTTACGACATCAGCGGCTCCCGCCTGACATTTCCTCACAATTTACTCCAAAGTCGCACTCTCGCGCAGGACTTCTCGCACATTGTGCAGGAATCGCGCTTTCGCGCTGTACCTCAAAACGATTTGTTGAGACGCCGCGCCCTCGACACTCAAGAATCACGCTCTCGCTTCGGCCTTTCGTGCGATTTCCCGGGGAATCGAGATATCGCCCGAGACTTCCTCGCAATTCATACAGGACTCACGCTTCAGCAACCCACCTGCTCGAATTGGCCGCCTGGGCCCGCCTTCCCGACCCGCCCGTTAGGGTCCAACCGCCCGATTTGCCCGACTGGTTCTACCACGTGTTCTCTGCTCCTAGCTCTCCTGTGACTCTCTCTCGTGCTCCATCCTTTTCCCTCCCCCTTGTCCCTGCCCTCCTCCTTCCCTTCCCCTGTGTTAGGGGTTGTGTCAACTACACGCGGCAGGTAAGGAAGATACACTTCCAAGGGGGGTACAATCGAAGACGAAGATGGAGGGTATCGAGGGTTCGGGATTTACACGACAAGTGGCACGCGAGTACATAAGAGCGGACTTTATTAACATGCGTCTTGCTGTTATGGTTAATGGTGGAGAGACTGATGATGACGACGACGATTATGGCAATCCCGACGCCGACGCTGACGATGATTATGATGATGCTGATGCTGTTGATGATGATGACGACCATGATGATGATGATGCTGATGATGATGATGATGCTGATGCTGCTGATGAGGCTGACGACCATGATGATGCTGATGATGGCAATGATAATGATGCTGATGATGACGATGATGATGGTGATGCTGATACTGATGATGCACATGATGATGATGACGAGGATGCTGCTGATGATGCTGCTGATGATGATGGTGATGCAGACGACGATGATGATGATAATGGTGATGATGAGGAGGATGATCATGACGATGTTGATACTGACGATGTTGATGGTGACGATGATGATGACGATGATGATGATGATGATGATGATGATGATGATGGTGGTGGTGGTGGTGGTGGTTGTGGTGATGATGATGCTGCTGCTGATGATGATGATGCTGATGCTGATGCTGATGCTGATGATGATGATGATGCTGCTGCTGATGATGATGATGATGCTGATGATGATGATGATGATGATGATGATGATGACGACAAAGACGATGACGATAATGTCCAGGAGCAGCGCGGATGAGAAGGAGAAGGATAAGCAGGAGGAGGGCAAGGAAAATCATGCGATGGAGCAGCGGCGGGAGCGGTAACGAGAAGGGCATTCGGCCCTGCCGAGGAAGTGGCGGGGCAGATTGGAGACTTCACCGTGGGCCTCTGGTACGCCGCCATGGAGGGGCACCTGGACGAGGGAGCGGAGGAGGCTCCCGTGGTGATGGCGGCGGAGCCGCACTTGCTGCTCAATGCCTGGGACCGTTTCTGACCCAGTGGCGGCTCCTGCTCCTTATTCTGAGACCTGGTAGTTCGGAGGGGCGGATGGCAAGTGTCAGGAATGAGCCGCCAGGAAGTCCCAAGAGACCATGATGGTGATGATGCTGATGATGACGACAACGATGATGATGATGATGATGATGATGATGATGATGATGATGATGATGATGATGCTGATGCTGATGCTGATGACGTTGATGATGATGATGACGACGATGATGCTGACGACGACGACGACGACGACGATGATGATGATGATGATGATGATAGTGAGATGATGATGATGATGATGACGAAGATGACAACGACGACGACGGCGACGATGATGATGATGATGATGATGATGACGGTGGTGGTGGTGATGATGATGCTGCTGGTGGTGGTGGTGGTGATTCTGGTGATGATGATGATGATGATGCTGACAATGGCGATGCTGATGCTGATGCTGATTATGATGCTGATGATGAGGATGCTGACGATGATCACGATGATGATGACGATGATGATGATTAGGATGCTGATGCCGCTGATGATGCTATGGTATGTTGGTGATGAGGGTGGTACTAATGCTGAGGATTATGCTGCTGCTGATGATGCTAGTGACCATGCTGATGACCATGTCCGCCGTCGTCATCGTCATTATTATCATCATCATACTCATCACCACCACAATCACCATCATCATCAGCAGCATCATCATCATCATTACCTCTACCTTTACCAGCATCATCATCATCCTCATCATTATCACCGTAATCATATCCATCGCCATCACCGCCATCACATCTTCAGTATCAACGACATGCTCCCCACCCATCCCTTGCCCTACCCATCCTACTATAGGTTTCCCCTCCTCTCCCAGCTACATCGTCACCCCCCGTACCATCCCCAACCTCAGTCTCGTCCTCATGCGTCCTCTGCTCGTGTTCCGCTCTCGTTTTTTTTTTTTTTTTTTTTTTTTTTTTTTTTTTTTTTTTTTTTTTTTTTTTTTTTTTTTTTTTGTTGGTATTTCTTCCCCTCTCTCTTTAAGTATGTTGCGCACCATCCTTATTACTCTTATATGTCTCCCTCTCTTCCTCTCTAAAAAATTGTATGCATGTTCGTATGTATGTATGTATGTAGAGATATTTAATTATATATATATATATATATATATATATATATGTCTCCTTCCCCCTCTCCCTATCCTTTTATCTCCCCCCCCTCCACCTCCCTCTCTCTCCGTCTCTCTCTCTCTCTCTCGCGCTCTCTCCCTCTCTCTATCCCCCCTCTCTCTATATATCGAAGACGCCTACGGCGAATCACCGCCACCCCCTGCCTTTTTGGAGGCGCCTATGTGGCCGAACGTTGAGGCCAGACCTGCCAAGCTATCGGACCATGTGCTTCCCGAATCGGTTTGGAAAGCCTTCGGGGAACACGTGGGCATCTTGAAGGTCATCTTGGCCGTGTGGAGGCCATTTTGACCCTTTCGGGCCTTCTTGGAGGACGTCGTGGAGGGCTCTTGGGCCGTCTTGGAGGCCATCTTGAGCGTGGAGGCCTCTTGGGCCGTCTTGGGGGCCTCTTAGGCCGTCTTGGGGGCCTCTTGGGCGATTTTTGAGGGCACTTGGGCTGTCTCGGGCCGTCTGAAGGCCGAACAAAAACGGAAATGCCACAATCCTTCAAACACTAATGGGAAATCACTGGTTTTGGCCTGTTTGGCCCTTCCTGGGCCATCTTAGGGCCATCTTCGGCCGTTTTGGCGGGCTCCTGGCCCGTCCGACGCCGTCGGAGGCCGTTTGGGGGGCCCCCCTGGGCCGACTTGGGGGTCTCTTGGAATGCTCCAGCGCCGTCTTGGAGGCCATCTTGGGCGTCTTGAAAGCCTCCTGGGCCGTCTTGGGGGCCTCTTGGGGCCGTCTTGGGGGCCTCTTGGGCCGTTCTGGGGCCATCTTGCAGGCCTCTTGGGCGATCTTTGGGCGATCTTTGGGTGCTCTGTCTCAGCCCGTCGGAAGGCCGAAGAGAAGCAAATGTCAAAATCCTTCGAACACCTAAGGCAAATCAATGTTTTTGGCCTTTTTCTGGCCTTCCTGTAGGCCCTCTTGGAGGCCTCGTGTGCCGTCTTGGGCCAGCTTCGAGCCAACTTCGGCTATCTTGGTGGGCTCCTGGCCCGTCTGACGCCGTCGGAAGCCGTTTGGGGGGCCTCTCTGGGCCGACTTGGGGCCCTCTTGGGGTGCTCCAGGGCCGTCTTGGAGGCCATCTTGGGCGTCTTGGAGGCTTCTTGGGTCGTCTTTGTGCCCTCTTGGGGCCGCCTTGCGGGCCTCTTGGGCAATCCTGAGGCCATCTTGGAGGCCTCTTGGGCGCTGTGGGGGCGATCTTGGGGGCCTCTTGGGCCGTCTTGGGTCGTCGGAAAGCCGAAGAGGAGCAAATGCCCAAATCCTTCAAAACCTATAGAACATCAATGATTTTGGCCTCTTCGGGCCCTCTTGGAGGCCTCTTAGGCCGTCTTGGATGCTTCTTGAGCGAACTTGGAGGTATCTTGGACTCTCTTAGGCCGTCTTGGAGGCCGTCTTGGACCATCTTGGGCGGACTTGGAAGCCATCTTGGACCATCTTGGAGGCCATCTTGGGCCAACGTGGCCATCTTGGAGGCCATCTTGAGCCGTCTTGGAGGATTTTTTGTGGACGCTGAGGTGGCTTACGCGGCCTTCGGGGACCCCGGCGGGACGCGCCAAAACCGAGAGGGTCCAGCACTCCAGGCACCCCTGCGATGAATCGACAGGGGGCGGCGGAACTAGTTGCCTACGGCCCATCCCGCCACCGTGCCTGAGTTGTGGGTTAGAGGCCTCTTGGCTGTTCGTTTGGATATTGTGGGAGGCCTCTCGGGGGCCTCTTGGAGTCAGTTTTGAAGCCTCTTGGGGTCTGTTTGGGGGCCTCTTGGGGTATCTTTGTGGATCTCTTGGGGGCCTCGTGGCCTCTCGGGGGCCTCTTGGGCTCTGTTGAGGG